GCTATTACTTGACCACTTTAAAGAAAGTACCTTTTTATGCATCGCTCATCTCTTTTTAAACGATAAAAAGATCACGTGACAACTTATTAATGCCAATTCAATGAACTTTTTATTGCTAAAAAAATATCATTAAAAGCGTACGAGATGTACGCGCTAATTTCAACCACGTGTAGAAACAAATGGTGACAATTATATAGAGAATATAATAAAAAAATTCGCTCGGTATATCAAAAATTGAGAGACTTGACATAATTTTAAAGAACCAAAATCTAAATCTACTGAAATTATGCTGATTTGAATTTGATCAAATATATCACTTGGTACCAAAATGTGAAAATAATATCTACATATTTCTATGCAAAAATGGCCAAGTGATTAATGCGAGTTGCATTTTCTTGTATCTACGATATCGAACAATATTCGATGAAGTTAAAAAGGGACGAATTTTTCAGCATAGTACTCACGTGAACCTCTCGGCTCCATTGACACCGTATTGGAGCGCGAGAATAACGATCAGTGGTGCGAACATGCCGCTTAAAGTGATCGCCAGGGCTACTGACTGTCGAACGCTCGATTGTCGTCCGCAGAATGATTTTATCCTTCGCTCAAAGATCGCATTCGTGCTATGTTTGCGAAGTAGAGGGGAAAAAGCCGAGTGGGGCAAACCAATGTCTTTAATGTGCGAAAAACGGCACGCGCATGGAATGCAAATTATTTCGCTGCATCACAGTGGATTCTGTTAAACTAAAGTTTTAAATATATATATACATATGTATAAAGTTATATATATACATACTTTTTATACATATATATATATAACATAAATAAATCGCAGATAAATTGCCGAGTTTAAAAATTGTATCGTTTTCGTATCTAATCTATTTTTTTCAATATATAATGTGGAGATATTATATCATAAAAATTATATAATTATTTATTTTTAACACAATAAATAATTTTTTTTGCATCAACATTCATCCATATACATCGAAAATTAAATTCCTCTTTTTCTCAGCTTACTAAATTTTATTGCATTATTTCTGCAATATAATACACGTAATATACGTAATTGAAAGAGTAAATATCAAATATTCACTCAGCTGTTCCTCATTGCAAAATATTTGTACGAGACAAATGTATTATCATAATAACTTTATACAATTGTACGCCTTATATCAAATTAAGTTATACCATTTGGAGTTACGTGAAGTTTATAGTTACGATTGTTGAACTCTTAATATATTTCACATTATTTTACAATTATAAAATTAGTTATAAAATAAATATACCTGGTAACCATGCAAATTGCACTTGACATTTAGTGCTTTCCATTTAGTGACACAAGTTGTGACAAACATCGTTCTATATTTTTCTTGACATTCGACAAGACAGAACGACACTTGTGTAGACTTGTGTCACCAAATGGAAAGCATCATTAATAGGTAATTATCATATCTTAATGTACAATACAAATTTTCCTGATTATATCCTTTCCTTTAAATTTTGACAATTCATCTCTAAATGATTTCAGTTTTTTATCCCAGCTATGTCAATCGATTTATTTATAGTAATATTTTTGCAAATTGCAGCAATTTCTTAATTAACCATTAACATTTTGACTACAAATAATTTCATATATAGGTGTTCTCAAAATAAAGCGTTATATGGAAAACAATCTCAAATTTTTATGTCAAAAACACGACATTTTTAGAAGAACTTTTCAGATAAGAGTTATTTGATTTCAGGGGGAAATATTACGGCATTTATTGTTTTTTATTTTATTTCTTAAGTCTTTCACGAAAATACCTTCAAACATTAGCTAACATCTGTGGTGTTATTTGTGCACGACGTATTCTATCCATCATATCTTCACGCGCTGTAGAAGCAGTTAATATAACACGGTTTTTTATTAAGTCCCAAAGAAAAAACTAATAATATTAGGTCTGGACGTGTTATATCAACTGTTCTCGCAATGTGAAGATATGATAGATAGAATATATCGAGCCTGTGCACAAATAACACCACAGATGTTAATTAATGAAGATGCTTTCGTGAAAGAATTCTAAAATATATTGAAGTGAAAGGACTTAATTTTGAACATTAATTTAATTTGACATTGATCGTTAATCCTTAAATATCTAAAAAAAATGAAACAAAGTTCAGTAAATGTTACACTTATTAAATTTATTAGTTTAAAATAAACATTTGTTATTGCTTGTACTTTTCTTCAGAAGTTGTTAGTTATCGACATTTTTTTTAATTCCAAAAGTTTAGATATTTTGTTAAATATCTTAGAAAATTATAGATAGATAAAAAATATTACAAACAAAAGTTACTAATTGCTTTTTTACCTAGAATATGTTACCATCACAAAAAATGTAGATTCTTATTTTAAAAAACAAAGTTAACCTTGAAATAAATAAAAAATAATAAATGCCATATTTCCTTCTTGAAATCAAATAATTCTTGTCTGAACCACCTTTAAAAAAAAGCCATATACCTGAGATAAAAATTTATAACGTTATTTTGAACACTTGGTATACAAGTGTAATATACAAGTGTTTTAATACAAAGAATAGCGCAATGATTATTCAATAAAATTTGCACAAGTGTTGGTTTAATTAGTGTAGGTTAGGTTAGACTAAACCAGGAACGTAAAAAATATAAACATTTCAATACTTTTTATCTTTTATAAGTTTCTTTAATTTTTAGAAAATTGCATAAGATATGCTTATAATATATACAAGAAAATATAATATTAATCATGCTTAAGAAGTGTTTTTTTAATAAATATAGAAGTTACCAAGAACATATATTACACATCGTGTGGCAGCATACGCAGAGACACATGTATCCATCAAAATCTTGGTCCTTGAAACTAAATTATCCTATTCATCTCCACGAATTGCTCTGTATTTGGTTAGTTCATGCGGGAAAACTCGATTCAACTCCACCAGCATGTTTGCCTTGAATTTCCTGTAGGCATCTATTTTTCCTTTGACCTGTTCATTTTTCGTCAAAGCCTTCTCTATACAGTCTTTGGTATATAATTGAGGATTTCTCCCTTGGTCGATGTAACTAAAACGAGTGTTTTTGTAATAATATATTTGTTAGATAAATAATTAATAACATCAATATTATTAGACTTACTCAAATACTTCCAATGGCACATGGACTTCTTGTACCTGAGACTTTAGCTTGTCGATTTCTTGTAAGCCATTGACTAAGCCTTGACTATACAAAGAAAAATATTTATTAAATTTCTAGATCAGTATTATTCAAGGTATTATAATTCTGGGATTTGACTTGATGTGTATCAGTGTTCGTACCTATTGCCTTTCTTTTTCCTGATGAAGATAAAAAAAAAGATAAAACAGGCATAAAGGCAAGCACACTTCTTAGAATCTAGACACTTGTCCTACATTTTTTTAAAATGAGTTTTACATTTTAGTGATATTAATTATAATTCATGATTAAACAAGGTCTGTCCTTCGTAACTAAAACTTCTTGTGCAGGGTTCATCTTTTCTTTTTTCTCAAACATAAAGAGAAAAAAAGGAAAAATAAATCATGCAAAAAATTCAGATAAGAAGAACAGATCTATGAAATCTCAAGGAAGTGTGCGGATCATAAATAATTTATAGGGCATATCAGGTATTGCATGATACTGCGAGGTTAATTTATAAAGGTAACGTTTCCACACATGAATATACGAATATACGCATGTTGCATGAGTACTCACATCTTCTGATTTAATACATTTTGCCCTTGAGGCTGAAAATCGCTCACTATAATGCGTATTTGTCGTACATTCTCGATAAACAGTTCCAATTGAGCCTCCAGATTCTCCAACGTGGACGCCATTTTTATCAGTTTGTTTATAGTCGCTCTTCGGCACAGATGTCGTTCATGTGGTTTGAGGTCACATGACCTACTCTACACTCTTGCGAAAAGCGCCAAATTCAATATGGAATTATCGTAAAGTTAGAAACATATTAAAAGTAAAGCATTAAAAATAAAATTTTTGAAAGTTTTGAAATTAGATATACATGTATTAAAAAAAAAAAAATTAATGTTTTGGGGTTCACCTATAATTATTTACAATCATTATATGTTCACCATAGTTGATCTACCACGATTAGATTTGATTTTCCTTCCTTCACTTCCTAAAGATAAAGTAAAAAGTGCGTTGCAGTGTTTTAAAAATAAATATAAAGAAACGAGTATATTTTAATTAAAAATCGAAATAAGTTTCACACTTACATGGTGTAATTTGCATATTTTTTTAGTGTGTAAATCATCATAGATATTATCGGGTGTTAATAAAATTAGAGAAATAGGAAAATCTAACTACACAGACCATATTTAGAATGTGCTTTTCAAGCAGAATATAAGCTATTATAACATATTAAAATAACGTCAAAATGGTTTTAAAATAAATATTAAAAATTATTTTTCAATTCATTAAGATTTATTTTAATATCGTTTTGACATTATCGGATCATGACTTGTTCTGTTTGAGTTATAACGATATTAGGACGCATTTAACATATATACTATAATTTACGTTTTATCATAGAAGCGCATATTTATAGTCGCGTTCAGCAGACTCAGGCTGGAGTCCCATGAGGTGTATTTACCGCGTATCGCGTAACCGCGTAACCAATCAGAGGTTACGCGATCGCGGTAAATACACCTCATGGGACTCCAGCCTCAGCTGTTGTGGAGCAGATCCGTAAGCACTCGCTATTATTGGTGCATTCTTCTAGATCATCCAATAGCAGCTAACGCTCACGGATCCGCTTCACAACAGTTAAGTCTGCTGAACGCGACCTTTATCAATGAAATAAAAACACAATCTGACGCGTTTGTTTCAAACTTTTCTTTGTTTCAAACTTCGCGCCGTCAATCTTGTTTTTCCCGCCAGCGAGTTTTGTTTATATTCCATACGTATGTGTACGCGATACGCACGCACACACACATAAGTGCGAAAAAGGAAGCGTTGGACTTGTTGGTATTCGGCGGCCGATCTACAAGGACGATCAATTTATTTTCCCTAAATGATGAGTTTCAGCGTAAGTAGAGTTGTGTTCTCGTATTACGTCTTTAATAGACAAAATATTTGCCTGTCTTGTGAATCTAAGATTTCATAAATTACCTACTTGTCTTATATCGCACGAGGAAGAATCAGAGTCGTCGGAGATTGTTGCAATCGAGTACCTTATCGTTCACAAATGCTTGATCATAAACGTGTTGATATTCGATGCTCTTGTATTTGACGGTCAAATTCCTTTTTAAGAAATGCATCTTCGTTCGTACGATTAACAGCATGTCTCAATCTTCTTTGTGTTGCAATGAAATAATTAAAAAAATTGGTGAATATCAAACGCCATGTCTTGCGAATACCGGCCATTAATACACCTAGCTTTTATACACGTATATTCGTTATTAATAGAAATTGAACAGAATAAACAATAGAACATTCGTATTATGGGATATTCGTATTCATATAATTAATAGATACAATACGTATACAGACCTTAATATAAACATTAAAATTAAGAAATTAAAATATTGATAAATTGATATTGTTAGAGGCTTTTTACAATAAACCATTAGTCATAAATTAAAAATCAAAAGCTAGAAATTAACCAATCACAATCGATTATTCTTTTCACATTCAATTGTGATTGGTTAATTTCTAGCTTCTGATTTCTGATTTATTAAGTACTAATGGTTTATTGTAGAATCTTATTTTTAGTTGGTGTTTACTGAATTTTGGAGGTTTATGAAATTATTTTTCATTCATGACTTATGGGGAGCATAAATTGATTTAATACTTATTAATTTATGTAGTACATAATTTTTTTATCTTTTTCTCAAGCTTTTTTCAGTGTTGAATTACTACAGAAAAATTGTCATTAATTAATAATAACGACGAAATTGGTGTCAACAATATTTAAGATGAAGACAACAACATCAACAACAAGTACATGGACACTAATGACGACGCCTGCAATGAAATTTACTGAATTTGGGACACTAAAGGCATTGACCACAACATCTACATCAACGACAATGACGCCGTCGACAGTAGCAGCATCAAGGAAGAGGAGGACATCTGAGACAATCATGTCAACGACTACTAAATTGACAACGACAACATCCAGAGTAATACCCGCAATTACAACAATGACGACATGGACGACAATGCCTAAATCAAAGACAATGATATCAACAACGTCGACAGCAGCAGAGATGATGGCGTCGAAGATAAGGACAGTATCAACGACTCCATTGACAACGACAACGTGGATGACAATGCCTGAGTCAACATCGATAACGTGGACCAAAATGCCTATGTCAACGACAATGACAGCATGGACCTCAACATTAACATCAACGACAATGATGGCGCCGATGGCAACAATGTCAGATACGAACGAGTCAAAGACGATAATATCAACAACGGCGACTCCATTGGCAACAACAAAGTTGATGACAATGCCTAACAACAATGACAACATGACAACATGGACCACAATATCCACATCAGCGTTAATGATGGCTCCACTATTAGATACAATGGCGTCAAATACTACAATAACATCAACAATGACAACTGCAGAGATGTTGACGTCAATGACAATGTCTGAATCAACAGCGACAACATGGACCCCAATGCCTATGCCAACGACAATGATGGAATTGGCCACCACATCTGCAACGTCGGCAATGGACGCTGAGACGCTAATTACATTACATGTTAGTGTAAAACTTTTATATATGTAACTTTCCCATAAATTAGTTATGAAATAAATTTATTTTTTAAATAAAAGAATTTATGGCAAGACTAATTGTAAATATATGTTAATTAAATTAAATTACACCATAAAAATTTGTTTTAATATTATTAAAGTTTTATAGTATTAATATTGGATAGATTATATACTTTTTTCTAATTTTCAGTTAATATTAATAATTGTTATTTGCACAAACACTTTACAGACTTTAGATTGGTAAGATTTATCAATTTCAATGTACACTTTCTGCTAATTGATTCTGTAAATATGTTTGAAATTTTATTTGTATTTATTAATGCATATGTTTTGTTTAATTTCATTGTTTTCATTATTAATTAATTTATTGTATTGATGTTTTTACATATGTTTTGCACATTTATTTCTTTCTTTTTAGAAAAAAGAATTAGATATTCTCGTAAAAAGAGCTGTCAGATCCGCTCTAAGAGATGAAAGACATGGAAGAGGAATGTGGAGAGGAAGGGGAAGAGGAATGTGGAGAGGAAGAGGAAGAGGAAGGGGAAGAGGAAGAGGAAGAGGAAGAGGAAGATACAGAAACTGGTATATAACACATAAAAGTGTCGTCTTTAATTTCTATTCTTACTAAAAATACATATTTTAAAATACATTATTAAAAATTAATATAAATGAATAATAATTTTTTATTTGAGGTAGAAGAGATACGAAATACCTTATAACTGAATACATACAAAAATACCTAAAATACATAAAAACATATCTACTACACATAAAGGTATAATTTCACATAGCGTCAAAGTGCTAGCTATAGTTGAGCGGCTATCCTCACTTTGTGGTACGTTTCTTCTTTAAAAGAACCGTCGACAAAATGCTAGCCGCTAAAGTCCTGCTACTTTTTCATGGAGCGACAAATTGCTAATTACTGTGGATTTATAGTCGTTAATATAAAATTGTTTTTTCTATACACTTAATTCGTGTATGAAATTTGCGTTTCAAAGTGCGTTTAAACTGCTCAAACAGTATTTTGTCAGCAACATTGCGAAATACAGGGTGGTCCAAAAGTTCGTTTACATTTCAAATGATGATTAAAAAAAAACTACTTATGTGAGATAAAAAGTTGAAATTTATTATTAAAGTACACAAATCGGGATTTTATTTCTTAAAAATAACATCGTCCATATGTGATCCTTGACTATTTTGACACTGCTGCAACCTGGAGCGGAAATTTTCAATGACGGCCTCACAAGTGTTTCGTGAAATGTTTCGCATTTCCTCTCGAATATTTTCCTTTAATTCCTCCAGGGACACTGGG